CACATTTGCATATTTTCCAACAAAAAATGTGTAATATAGAATCATAGAAGGTTAAGAGTTGGAAGGGACCTTGCAGGTCATCTAGTCCAACCCCCTGCACTCTGCAGGAGCAGAGCTGAAAGAGAGCCCTACAACAGACCCGGAAGGTGATCGTCCAGCCTCCGCTTGAGAACGTCCAGCGAAGGAGCCTCCACCACCTCCCGAGGCCGTCTGTTCCACTGCTCAACCACTCTTACACTTAGGAAGTTTATCCTGATATTTAGCCGGTAACGACTCCCTTGTAGTTCCCACCCATTAGACCTAGTCTTGCAATCCGGAGCAAGAGAGAACAGACCTGCTCCATCTTCCACATGACAGCCCTTCAGATACTTGAAGACTGCAATCGTGTCCCCTCTAAGCCTTCTCTTTCCCAGGCTAAACAGACCCAACTCTTTCAGCCTTTCCTCGTAAGACTTGGATTCCAACCCTCTCGCCATCCTGGTTGCCCTCTTCTGGACACGCTCAAGCTTGTCAACATCCTTCCTCAAATGTGGTGCCCAAAACTGGACACAGGACTCCAGGTGAGGCCTGACCATAGCAGAATAGAGCGGAACGACCACCTCCCGTGATCTGGACACAATGCTTCTTCTGTGAATGCATCCTAAGATTGCATTAGCATTCTTCACAGCCACATCGCACTGCAGGCTCATGTTCAGCTTGTGATCAACCAGAACACCCAGATCCCTTTCACATGTGCTGCTGTCGAGTAGCCTGTCAGGTAGTCTGTTGTCCTTTGTGGCAGAATTAGTGCTATAATCAAAGAAGGTGGGAAAGTCCTCTTTAGATTAGACTTCTCCCTCTTCTTTTGACTGCAGCCAGGATGTGAACAGGATCAACTTGAATCACTGTAAGTTTACCTTTATTGCCTCCCGTGATCTGGACAGAGTGCTTCTGTCAATGCATCCTAAGATCGCATTAGCATTCTTCACAGCCACATCGCACTGCAGGCTCATGTTCAGCTTGTGATCAACCAGAACACTCCGGTCCCTTTCACATGTGCTGCTGTCAAGCCAAGTCCCTCCCATTCTATATCTGTGCCTTTGATTTTTTGCACCTAAGTGTAGGACTTTGCACTTCTCTCTATTGAAATTCATTTTGTCTCAGAGAAAATTTGTTGCAGAGAAAGAAAGCAACTTTAACTTTAAATGTGTTCTCAAAGTCCCCCACCTACAGATATCATTATCCATATCGGCTTTTAACCCCATTTGTTTTGTTTTTTTTATTCCTGACAGTCTCATTTAATGTTAATAACAAGCAGATTTGCATATTTTCCAACAAAACCTTGTAATATCTGTTCATGTCTTGCGGCTCTCCAACATCTGTTTATTCTACGTGGCTCTTATGTCAAGCAAGTTTGGCTACCCCTGGCCTAGAGCATCCCTGACAACAAGTGTTTGTCCAGCCGCTGCTGAAAGACTGCCAGGGAGGGGGAGCTCACCACCTCCCTGGGCAGCTGATTCTACTGTTGCACGACTCTTACTGTAAAAATGTTTCTCCTAATATCCAGCCGGTCGCTTCCCGCCCTTAATTTAAACCCCTTATCGCAAGTCCTCTCCTCTGCTGCCAACAGGAACGGCTCCCTGCCCTCCTCGAAGTGACAGCCCTTCAAAGACTTCGAGAAAGCCATCCTGTCCCCCCCTCAACCTCCTCTTCTCCAGACCGAACCTTCCCAAGTCCCTCCGCCTCTCCTCACACGGCTTGGTGGTCTCCAGGCCCCTGATCATCCGCGTCGCTCTCCTCTGCACCCGCTCCATTCTGACCACATCCTTTTTGAAGTGAGGCCTCCAGAACTGCATACAAGACTCCAGGCGCGGCCTGACCAAGGCAGTCTACAGCGGGACGATGACATCTTGCGAGCCAAGCCATCTCCTGTTGGATCTCCCCCTTTCCCCGCTGCCTTCAACTTTTCCTAGCGTGCTTCTCTTTCCCAGTGACTCGTCTCATAATGTGATCAAAGTATGATAGCCTCAGTGGAGGCATTTTAACTTCTAGGGAAGAGTCCAGGCTTGATCTAACATTCCCCTGGAAAAGAAAAACAACAGCCCATTAAAGGTAAAGGTTCCCTTGCTCGAAAGCCAGTCGAGTCCGACTCTAGGGTTGCGGTGCTCATCTCCGTTTCAAAGCCGAAGAGCCGGCGCTGTCCGAAGACGTTTCCGTGGTCATGTGGCCGGCATGACTAAACACCAAGGCGCATGGAACGCTGTTCCCTTCCCACCGAAGCGGTACCTATTTATCTACTTGCCATTTCTTGCTTTCGAACTGCTAGGTTGGCAGGAGCTAGAACTAGAGACGGGAGCTCACTCCATCATGCGGCACACTCGGGTCTCGAACTGCTGAACTACTGACCTTCCACAGCCTGCAGTTTAGCGTCTTAACCACTTGAGCCACCGCAGCTTCTAACAGCCCATTAAGCTTCTGTTAAAGATAAGGTAGTCAGGGTTGGGAAATACCTGGAGATTTCGGAGGCGGAGCCTGAGGGCGGGGCTTGGGGAGGGGAGGGGCTTTAGTGTGGTGTAATGCCACAGAGTCCACCGTCCGAAGCGTCCAGGGGAACTGCTCCCTGTCGTCTGGAGACCAGTTGTAATAGCAGGAGATCTCCAGACACTGCCTGGAGACTGGCAACCCAAGTTAAGGGGACAAGGCCTTTTTCTACAGGCCTGTTGGCAGCCCTAGTCACTAGGGAGAGGGGGGAAATCCATGTGCAAGGTTCAAGACAAGCAGCACCTCTGAGGCCAACAAGATTTCCAGGGTCTACGCCTTCGAGAGCTAAACCTCACTTCGTCAGATACAAGCAGGAAGGGAGAACCATCAGCACTTGTATCTGAACGAGCTTTGATTTGAAAGCTCATACGCTGATAATCTTGTGGGTTTCTGAGGTGCTGCTGGACTTGAAACCTTGCTCGAGCCAGTTTGGTGTAGTGGTTAAGAGCTTGGACTCTAATCTGGGAGAACCGGGTTTGATTCCCCACTCCTCCACATGCAGCTGCTGGTGTGACCTTGGGTCAGTGACAAGTTCTCTCAGAGCTGTTCTCTCAGGAACAGTCCTTGATAGAGCTCTCTCAGCCCCGCCTACCTCACAGAGTGTCTGTTTTGGGGAGGGGGAGGGAAAGGAGTTTGTGAGCCGCTCTGAGACTCCTTTGGGTAGTGAAGGGCGGGGGTATAAATCCAATCTCTTCTTCTTCTTTTACCTCACAGGGTGTCTGTTGTGGGGAGGGGAAGGGAAAGGAGTCTGTCAGGCGCTCTGAGACTCCTTTGGGTAGTGAAGGGCGGGGTATAAATCCAATCTCTTCTTCTTTTACCTCACAGGGTGTCTGTTGTGGGGAGGGGAAGGAGTTTGTGAGCCGCTCTGAGACACCTTCGGGTAGTGAAGGGTGGAGTATAAATCCAATCTCTTCTTCTTCTTTTACCTCACATGGTGTCTGTTGTGGGGAGGGGAAGGGAAAGGAGTTTGTGAGCCACTCTGAGACTCCCTTGGGTAGTGAAGGGCAGGGTATAAATCCAATCTCTTCTTCTTCTTTTACCTCACAGGGTTTCT